TAAAATCTATGCCAAATAGATTGCGTGCGGTAGAATGTAGTCGTGGGCACCCAACAAAATATTAATTTTTAATTTAAACAAATTGTTGGTCACTTTTCTACAAATGTACGATTTTAGCTGTGAGACGTTTTCCAGGCTGAATTATAGTAATTTTGTTTTTTTTATATTTAGATAACTTTGTTCCTTTTGATACTACTACATAATAAATATAGATACATTTACAATATAGATTCATGATATTTTTTCCCCCATATCCTTCCTGAACTTTTTCACGATACGAAACGTATTCGTATATGTGATGTAGGATTTTGGCTGTGACTCACTGTACTTCGTTCTTTATTTCGATAAACGATGCTATTGCTGTTTCAATGGTGAACGAAGATCTACTTCGTTGTAAGCGTGTCTCGGATATGTTTCTAAACGAAGGAAACAGTAGTACGGAAGTAGACGCCTTTCCCAAAGTAGAAGTTAACGAGAAAAATCTAAAAATGATCACTTCGCCACATATGGTGACCAGCTGATCGAAGGTTCCAAAAATGTCCGGCGATATAACTGTCCGCAATAAAACGATTAGAGAGTGCTCGCTTTCAAAACCGTCGCATATCAACTATAATTTTTGTTTTTCTCTTTAATAGTATTGTCAACTTTTTTAAGTGGTAACAATGAAAACTGCTTCTATCAATCTTTTGTCTTATACATTATATAATACGAGCAATTAAACAAAGAGCATAGAAATGATGCTCATTGCATAGAAAAATAAAATTTTACATTCTTATCAAGAATATAAGAATGTCTGCTTGTCGAAAAATAATTAATAACAAAACTGGACCAAGAAAAAGCAATAAAAGAATTATCTAAATTCTTATGAAAAAACTGAAAATTTAATATTTGAAAAAAGTGATACGAATTCATGCACTTAGTTTTGTGGTTTGCAATGGGAATCACGCAACGTTTTTTCGTCGTACATGCGCTAGTGCATTCGTCAATCGTTGTGCAAACCTAAATGGTAGACGTTAACTTAGACACGAAGCATAAAAAGAACATTTAAGGATGATAATTATAACAATAAAAATACGAATAAAAGCGAGAAAGAGATTACTAGAGATACTACCACTGTAAACTCAAACTTCCTTCTGCTTGTTTCTCTTGGGGTAGAATGTACTACCATAAATTCGAATGTACTTTATACTTAACCGGTCGATGGCTGTATGTTGACGACCTATAGTATTTTATAAATTTGTAGGAAAAGGAGGTGAACTATGAATTCTGCTAGCATATGATCCCCCCATGAAAAAATATATAGATTTATAAAGAAATTTATAATCATTATGATCAATAACTTCGAAATAACTTTAATCTACGACAAAGTCTAAATAGGTATTTTTACCTAACCGACCGGTTAAGTGTTAAGTGGTTTGTTTAACCATCGTTACAGGCAAATGCTACGCAGGTACAAAAGGCTCGTGCAAATGATTCAACTGTTGGACATGAAATACATAGAAATTCAAGAATACAGCATTTCATGCTCGTCAATTTTTGTTTTTTAAATGATCTACTATCTGTGAAGACGAATAACGACCTAAAACAAAGAGTTAAATCCTCGTACAAAATACCCTTTATCATATCTAAGTATATACAGTTATAGAATCGTCGTTTGGATAATTCGAATCAACTAAAATCTCTATGCAGCAATAGATCAACGAAGGTCCCCAATGTCTAGTCGTTAACATAAAAAAAACTGGAAAACGGTTTTTGAGGAAGGCTGATATCTGTAGTCGCGTACAATGCCGCTCCAGACCTAACCCAGACCTAACTTTGGTACGCGGGGTGTTGGTATCGATCAGACAACCTGGTACTCCCGATGACGACGACGCAAGCTCAACTCGAAACCGACGATCCGCCGAGGTAGAGGGGCAGCTGTTATCCTCCCTTGCGCTACCGTTCGATTTCCTGCTGTCGTTAACTCTCTCTCTTTCTTTCTCGCCCTCTTTCTCTCGCATCCTCGCGAGAAGGAGGACGAGAAGCAGAAAAGATAAGCGATCAAGAGGATCTCGACTATTACATCATGTTTCCATCGTTTCCACCGTCCCCGAAAGATCCAGCATTGACCACTGGCAGCCAGGATCACCAGGAGAAGTACGTATCCGTCTACAAAGAAGACAAGCGACCGGTAGTCGTGCTGCTAGGATGGGCCGGCTGTCAGGACAGATATCTGGCTAAGTACAGCGCGATCTACGAGGAGAAGAGGTACTGAAATCTTCTAAATAAACCATTTCGATTCGGCAGAATGTTCCTCTTTGATTTTTCCTATTGAAATCGTGCGTCCATGTTAAATGAAGCTACGTCTAAACAATTTGGCAGGTTCTAGACACTTGTACGGTTAAGTCAGGGAATGTAGTATTAAATATGAATTATACGATTACGATTCCTTGTGTAAGAGTTCAGGAGGAATGATACGATCAGCAAATGAATCCAGTTTACTCGCATGGAACCGGTGAAATAGCAAAAATTTGACGTATGTTGTTCTCAATCGAACTGTGTCGGTATATTCAACAAGTTAAAATGGAGAAACAAAAATTATGGAAACGAATACTTGTAAGTGCTTCAATCGATAACTGCATAGGAGAATATTAAAGCTGAAACGGTCTGATAATCTGCACAAAAACAAGTAACATTTTGAAAAGAGTACACATGGCGCAACCTTGAAATTCGTCTTGTAATAATAGTTGAACCAAAAAAAATTACGTGATTATCTCGTGCACAATGGAATTTGCGTAACAGTTCGTAACATACACATTTATATTGACCATATAATTGTGAGATTAAATAATCTCTTATTTTAAAGCCAATTAATTCCTTGTTCAAGAAATATAAGTCGTATTCGACAAATATACGGCAAATGTATAGCAAAAACATAATTGCGTTTAAATGAAACGTTATGTAATTTATTTGCTATCATTTTTGTTTGATTTACTCGTAATTGGTTTTTGAAATTCGTCAGAAATATTGTTTGGCCCTAGCTGCATCACGTTGCGATACACGGCGCCAGTAGAATATCTATTTTGGCGAAGGGACAAAATGCCTCTTATTGGGAAACGTTTGATCCAAGTGATTACAGACCAAAGTCTGGATCAGCATCCGATATTTTTCCATGTATTCAGCAATGGCGGTGCCTTCCTATATCAGCACGTGAGTCTTGCAATGCAGCAGGCCAACACGCCACTTATGGTAAGAAGATATAAAAATACCTATTTTCAGAAAATCTACATCCTCAGTTATTTTTGTTGGTCATCTCTTGTAATTTTATTGAAATTACAGGTTAAAGGAGTGATATTCGATAGTGCACCGGGTGAAAGAAGATTGACCGCATTATTCAAAGCGATTAGCGCCATCATAGGCGGACATCCTCTTACAAATATACCGATGTCCTTCTTCATTACAATCTTCCTGTCTTTACTTTGGTTCTTTGAGGTATGTGTATCAATTATTTTTACCTATCTTAAGAAGTCAATTTACGTCGTATAATTGAAAAATAAACATTTTTATTTAAACTTCGAAACATAAAAAAGAGGTCGCAACAATAAGAACAACGACGTTTAGAAGACAAGTATACCTTTACTTATAAAACATCAAAATAGAATGGACATAAAGAAGTGACATACGTCAATGGAACTTTTTAATAATTTAACAAAAAAAATTTCTAATTTAAAGGTTCTGTTGTTCTTCGATTAAAATAGATTTATTCCATTTGCTGTAAAATTGTAAGTATGAGACTAAAAATCAGTATAATTACTAATAACACAACGCGCGACGCTGCAAAGTACTTTTTTTATACATGTACAATCAAGTAAACTTGATATATTATCAAACGACGATGAAAAATGTTACTTTAAATAATCATTCTGTATAGTTATAACTTTAACTAAGGACTTTTATACTCTCTCTTTCGTATATTTCGTTTTGCAGTAATTATATAAACTTAACAAGGAAATGTCAATGTAATGCTAAATTTGTCTACTATTCTTTTTAATTTTTCTAATACCTTATGACTGCTTACAGTTTATGCTGTAAATTACAATCAATATTTCTATTTGAAATTGTCCCTTTATTAATTATGCTTTCTTAAATATTTAACAAACTAATTATTATTTTAACTAATATTGCAAAAGATCAATATTATATTGTTCATTTAGGTGATCGCGCACACGTTTGGACGCGGTTATCCCGTTCAAACAAATCCGATTGCTCTAGCGGAGGAATCCTACTCCTGGCCACAATTATTTCTTTACTCGGACACTGACACTCTGATCCCAGCATCGGTAAGAATTCTCTAGGAACTTTACTATTAATTTGTCCAATAATTTAATTTTCGTAAAATTGGCAAATGTTGTAGAAATACACGATTTCCATATAGAATTATATATAAAATTCAATGTAGTAGTAGCGAAAGTTCTCTGCAATTGTCTTGGAAACTATTAGGTACCGAAAATAGTCCATGCGATTTTCTTATTAGCAATGAAACTTCAGTCAATACTTCACTAGTTTAACGAATGAATTCGGTATTAGCAGCAAGTTATATCTATGCCATTGATATAAAATAAAATAAAATTATTTTACAAAAACATTCTCTGTATTTAAGTACTCGCGCGAATTTTTACCCGTACCTAAAGTTCGTATAATTTTTGTCAGGGGAAAAAGTTGCTCGAAATATTAATTTCTACGATATTTATTAATTCTAGGAAAATCGATTTTATATGTTCTTATTTCAAGGACGTCGAGAAGTTTGCCAGACGAAGGGCGGAGCGTGGCGTACGGGTGCAACTGGTGCTTTTCATGAATTCCCCACACGTGAAGCATTACGCCACGTACCCCGACGTATACGTGGACACAGTTTGCAATTTTATTCACGAATGCTTGACATCATTAAACTTCGAAAGTTTGAAATCGTCGCAAGAATGCAGCGAAGAAAATAATCCACGGAAATACGACACTTTTCCTGGTCTCACGAAAAGAGTTGTGCTGGGCTGAACAGCTAAGAGGATCGATGATATGCTGCTTGGTTTTCTCTTTCCTGAAGCAGCGAGACTGATTGAAGCGTGTTTCTTTTTTCATCAGCGTTGAGTCTTGCCTATTCCTGTTTTACCTATTTTATACATACATATATATACATATATATGTTTCACAGTGAAACTGCGCATTAGACGTTTTTAAGTACATAGAAAATAAAAAAATAAAGTTTTATTTTAATAATCGAACTCTCTTATGATTTATCATCCTACTTGCTGCGCTCTACTCGTCAACGGATAATAATTAAAATTTAAGTGTACTTAATCATTAAATTAAAAGGCATTAATCATGGTTCCTTTCTTGTAAGATAAATTCTTCGCATTTACAATTGATTGATTTTAACGAGACTCAACACTGATTCACTTGTACACCTAAAGTAACGTTCGAATTTTTATGACGATTCCAACGGCTATAGCCAACTCGACCGCTTTTTGCCCCTTTCATCCACTTCTGCTTGTTACATTTCCGCTTTCTATTTCCTCGTATCTTCCATTTTCTTTACTCGCTAAGTTTTTGAGTAGGTATTCCAGTGTGACGGTTGTTTTTTTACACTTTTGGAGAGCATTTACAAATTCTTTGGTCGAGTAATATTTGTTGAATAATAAAATGGCTGCCACGGAGCGCGTAAAAGTTGAATGTGAAAGAAGAAAGTAAACAGATTGCTGATGAATTGAGTCGTTCAACTTGTCTCAGACAAAAAAATCTAATTGATCTTCAACTAGTATGAATGTAGCTATCGTAGACACTAAAAAGAAGAGAATATATTAAAAATTGAAAGAAATGGCGACGCTATGAACTTACAGTTTCGTTTTGCTGTGTTTATTTAAGTTTTTAAATGATTTTAGAAATCAAAGAAGAATGTGGCATAATTGAAGTACCGACGATGGCGTATGCAAAATTTTGCGGTACGGTAGTTTTTAAGATACCGTGGCAACAAGCTCGGAAAATGTACTTTCGTGAAAAACGTATTTAAGGTTTTGAGTAATACTTGTTGCTGTGCACTGACCATGTCACGCAACAGAATCTCTAACATCGTTATCTCCCCGAGTATTACTCTGAAATTTTATAAGCACATTTAAAAAAAATTATACTATCGATAATATGCAACAGAAGATCGAGTTTTCTGATCCGTCACGCTAGGATACCCCCTTAACATCGATGTGCCTGAAGTCAACGCGATCGCCTTCTTTTTGGATCTAATAAACGAGTAAAATGCGCATGTGATTCGTTTTTCAATGTTATATATGTAGAAGTAAATGTCGAGTGCAATTCTGACTTCTTGGGAATGAAACTTATACGGAAATCTGTAATTCGATGTAGCGAATTGTCGAGCAGTCGAACAAAGCAGATCTAGTAGTAAAATATTACGAACACCAAAAAGCATAGGGAACGAAATTTTTATTTACATAAATACTTAGAGGCTTGAAAATGCGATCGTTACGCGCGCCAAAAAATTACGTTGAAGTTTCAAAATGTTAAAACTTCTGGATTCGAACTACATAGTATTTGATACGCGATAATTGAGTACCCGACGTAACAAATTCGCACAAATAAATCAAGCTGGTCTTGACTTAGCTTTCAATTACATTATGGCGTAATTAAATATCGATGACACAGAGAAATTTCCTTGTACCCCTCTTTACCAAGTAATGTTACGTTTACATACATATGCATATACAAACACAAATATGTATATATAAATATATTTTGGTCTGTCAATTAGTTATAAATAAAGACTGATAAATATTCACAACTCGTTGCTCTTTTATAAATACGTTAAATAAATAATAAAAATTTGTTTCGGTTGAGGTTTTACGATTACTTCCAATCGAAGTATTATAATTTCCTATCTTGAACGGAAACCATTTAATATTTTTAACATTGACAAAAGATTTAGGGATTATAGAAATACATTTTTATTCAAATAATTGTCGAAATAAAAAAATTTATTGACATATAAATGTAAAAATGTTGTATTTGATATATTTATAATTTACAGGATTTACTATAACAACAAATATTTACATGAAAACGTATAAATTTATTCCTCTTTATCTCTGTAAAGCTTTTTCAGTTATAGCTATTTTTCAGTTATAGCTATCGTAATATTTTTCAAATAAAAAGATCAATAAACATTATATGTGTTTGTTAAATGATTTTAGGTTCATGTATCCAATCTAGATATATTTTGGGAACTAATAATAATGGCGATTAATAATTTAATCGTAAAAAGTACGAAGATGAAAATATATTTGATATTTTGATCCAAATTCTGCATCAAAATAAGTCGTAATATCATTATTTGTTTACGATTAATGTTTACAAATATAGAAGTGAATACCTTAAGAAATTTCCTATCTGATAGTACTAAAATGATACATAATCATTTAGAATTGTTACTAAGTTGTTCAACTTTAAAACACATTAAAAAATAATATTACGAACGCAAGAATTAGAATTATGACCGACAAATATACATACAGTTTACTCTACAGTTGAAGTATTTGTTTTATTTTTAATAACGTGTAAAAATAATAATATTTAACTCACTTATTTATTGTACAACAAAAGTAAATTTGATACTTTGTTTAAATGTTATCTACACAGTAGACTGCGTAAGCAGGTTGCAGAAAAACAACATAGAGGACGAGTGCACATTCATTATCGTGAATAGTAAATCACTCCGGAATAGAATACGGCGTCGACGATAGGTATAAAATTGATAAAACATTCATTTTAAACAAAATAAACTCTGTATATTAGAAAAAATAATAGGAAATTGTTAATACTTTAAAATAAGTTTATACGCAATCTTCACACTATAATATTCGCTGCTATTTCTATATTAATAACAATGATTAATTTTTTCGATGACTATTTAAACATGATGAAATATAATCACACTATAGAAAAACGCGAACTATGACCATCGACAGTATGTACTTACTTAAGTACTCTTTCGTCCGGCTATGACCTGTCACAATTAGCATCAGCGCTTCGAGTGGTATGTTCCACAAGTTTATAGCTATACATTTTCAAAGAATATGCAGGCCTTAGTGTTGAACATTTCTAAGAAAATACGTTACTGCCTAAAACAAAATGGACCAATGAGATGTAAATCACGTGAGAACCCGGGTTGCCGTTGTTATTTTGATGAACTTTATTTCCCAAGTAAATGAAGAGTAGAACATATAGATATACGTTTTGTGTGTTTAATGTGCAAATTATTATAACCTCACTGCGTATCTGACACGTTACAACTCGTTTAGTACCCGGCTATTTATGCCTAATCGACATAAATACATGACTATTGCCGAATACAGAAATTTGATTGAGACGAATGACCAATCATAACAAGACTGAACCAAATAAAAGAGCGAATAATAATAACATGAGGAATAGAACTGCCCTTACAATAGGACAGAAAATTGAAATTTCTGAAAAATTGGAATGTGGTATGTCTGTCAGGAATTTAGCTATCGAGTATCAGATTCACCCTACCACTGTACGCCGCATTCGACGAAATGTAATATCAATGCATCACCTTGCGGAGCAAGGAATCCAAATACGTAAACGAAAAAAACTACGGAAACCTGCATTTGAGGATATAGAAAATCGTTTATACGTATGGTGGTTGGAACAAAAGACATTGGGAGATCCAGTCACAGATTTATTATTACATAATAAAGCATTAGAGCTAAACAAGGAATTTGGTGGACCTTCAACGTTTAAAGCAAGCGCAGGCTGGATAGCAAAATTTAAAAATCGTCACAATATACGATTATTACATAAATTTGAAGAAGATGAAAATGTCGATATGGTAGAAGACGAACAAGGAGAACAAGAAGACGCAGAGGAAGCACTTGAAGAAAAAGAACAAATTGAATATTATGAGGAAGACACCAGCAAAATAGAAATACAACACGCATTAGAAACTTTAACAAAATATGCAGAACAAGCTCCACGTTTTATTAAATTAACAGTGGAAAATTTGAAAGACTTTTTTCTGAGAGAAGAGACTTAAAAGGAGCACCAAAGGATATGCGAGAAAATGGGTTAGTCACCAATTTCAGAAAAGATAAGTTATATTTCTTAAGTACGTATAATGTTCTGTTTTTCTTTTGGTAGTAATTTTTTGTTTTCTTGTTTATAGCATGAGGCATTCTAAGTAAAGGAAGTGATACTACGGGTATCAACTAAAAAAGACATGATGGATTGGAGTATGAAGAAAATATAAAGATTGGTACGAAGTCAAATGAACATTATTATAACTTAACATGAGTTTGGCTACTAGTTAGTGGCAAAATAATTTAGTTTTATTATTGTTTATTATCTAGTGCTTGTCTAGAATCAAAAAATCCAGGAAAGATGGACATTAACTTTGGAACATCATTTTTTACATACAAGTCAATAAGATATATGTTACATGTAAATATCAAAATAATTATCTTTGTAAATAATGTATGTAATCTGTATATATAGCAATAATACTGCATAAAATACGATAAGATAATTTAGTATATCTATTTTATATTGGAAATTTTCTCTAACCTGAGTAGTGAAGTTGTTTTCGTTTATTTTAACAACAATGAAAATATTTAAAATAGAATATTGTTTACTTTGGAAGAAAAAATATTTCAACAACTTCTTTCTACACATACTTTATAAGATTCTTAAACATTTTCTCAGCATCAAATAGAATTAATATATTTAGCATTTTCTTGTACTTACTCTATAACATTATATTTTATAAACTTTACTTAATTATGATGCTATTATTAATAAAAAGAAGTTTGTAACAACATCCAATATAATTCGAAGAAATGTAAGAGTATATCAGTTAATGTATTATTAATATCTTACTGATTGGTGATTTTGTTTGAAAACTTTTCTGTGCAGTAAATTATTCTTTCATAAATGAATATGAAATGAAAACATCTTACATACACTACATACAACATATTAAAATGGTTCAAACTATGTAATGAATACAACCTAGAATACCCTTAGGGATCTACGTTACTCAGACTGGAGTAACGTTTTTTCAACGTGTCCCACTTCTAGTGCTATATAAACTTGGCTGCCCTTGAAATGTCGATAGATTACTTGTATAATTTCGATATAACGTTATCTTTATGCATGAGCGGTGCTCAAAGCCAGCATGCTCAATACATACGTTTACGCCACTATCGCGCATTGTGTTTTTTTCGTACGTTTCCTATTGCCATTTAAGTGGCAATATTAAAATTATATTGACAAATTATATTTTAATGACATTATTATTTCCGTTTGCCATTGTGCGACAGGAAGTGCTTAATGTTGCAACGAGCGATGCATTCTTATATTGAAGATAAAACGGTGTATGTATGGCTAATATTTCTACTTATATGGAATAGGACAATTTCCGGAGGAGATGACCATATTTTCTTTGAAACGCATTTAAATGGAAACTAAGAGAATCAGAACACCAGATTTGACTTCTAATCAAACTTCAATTAATTTCACTTGTATTAGTTACTTCTCAAATTGAAATATTCGTCTCCCCGAATTTGGTACGCAAGGCATGAGGAATATTATTAACAATACGAAATTGCAATGAATTATTCTGTATATTTAACACCGGTGGCGTATATAAAAAAGCATTTTTACATTAGATTATACCAAAATATATGTAATTGTTATTACAACAGTGCTGATAGTTGGTATCATGTTATATTTGGACTATCGTATCTGCGATTGTCTTATGTCCACTTAAAGTAAAGTAATATATGAGGTTCAATCGGAAATCCTTGGAATTACCATGGTTGTCCAGTAATTCTTAATCCTTGGTAGTTGCCTGGTATTGTTTGCTTAGAGGACGTACGGCTGATAAAAATCGTAAGTATAGACAGTAGGTGCATACAACGAAGGGACGGTCCACACCAATCTCTTATTTCTAGGCATATCCGGAGAAGCGGCACCTGATTCCGGCTCAATATTTTCAACTTCGGCGGGTTTCGGTTTCGCTTCAATGAAAGCAACGGCGAAGAGAGCCAGAAGAACGATTGCCTATATACGAAAAAATAAACAATTCTGTACATTGATTATTTCACTGTATAGCATAACGGCAGCGAAGCACTTTAATTATCTAGAATTGTTCACTAGCACGAATTAGGGATGGATGAAGCAAGAAAATGAGTTATTGTTTGCACATATATCAACACCTATTACTTATTATCCAAATCAATACTAACAATAGTAGCTAAAGTCACTCCAAGTTTCAAAAAAAAGAAAAATATACTTAATCGTTTGCAGTCTTGGATCGAGACAGACTCGACATTGGATTTCGTTTTTAATTTTTCTTGCAATGACATCATACATAAGTATCATTTTACGGCTGGTCAGATATTCTCGAACTACAAGATGCGTGTAAACTACAGTAAAATAGTTAATTTAACCGATAGGGCAAAATGAAAGGCGGTGATTTTGGATGTCTTCATCTCATCGTAATAGGTTTGGTATCGCAAGTAAGATAGACCGAAGCAAATTGGATCGAAATAACAATCCAGTCCACATTTGTTATGTTGCAAATGGTATTTTTCATTTTTTGTTTTGTATTTACAAAAGGAAGATTTGTAAACTTTTTTTCACTTTCTGTTATTAATGTCCAAGTATTTTTATTTCTTTACTGCCAAACAAAAGACAATTCGACTCGCCTCGGTCTACCCTATTATCCAGTGCAGAAATCCAATAGACAAGACGTAATAATTTTATGATCAAGAATCATATTCGATGTACTTACAGCGAAGTACTTCATGGTTGGTGCGTTTGGTGGAGTCTTCGAGATCAGCTTCTGTATTCAACTGGAACTGAATGATGCTCCAGCTTTCTGATGGATATCCTTATATACCTGGCGAAAGAATGATCTTGTACGCATCATTTTCGGATTAATTATCATACAAGGAAAAATGTGTCGTGGCTACACCCTTGCTTCACGAGTATGCGTGAGCCAGAGGATGGTGTACGGCGTTGTTACGTGTTTTCTGATTTCCGGAACCACATTCATAATCCATGTACGTGTCCCTGTTGACTTTAACATGATCTACATAAAATCTCTTTAAAAAATATCGTTTATGTATTCCAAAACAATCTCATGGTAGAGGAAGTACAGGCCGAGCGTTTCATTCCAGGGATTGAAAACGTTCCGAAAACAATTGTCGGGGACTGTTATATATCGATTCCGATTGAAACAGATATGGGGAACCGGAATAAAGTAATAACTGTTATTTAATAAATCGCTTTCGGTTTTATGAAATAGACAATATTTCGGTTTCATATTGGTTCGTTGTTACCAGTTTATATACTTAATGCACTATCGCACCACAAAGTAAAAACTGAACAAATCGGAGGATCGAGTAAAACGTGATCATTAAATATTTAATACAATTGAAGAAAAAGCGTTGAAAAAACCAGTGCGTAAGCAGTTGGTTCGATGAGCCATCTAGTAATACCCCTTTCAGTAATTAAGAAGAACTTAAAATTATTGAATGCAGAGAAGTTTGTAAAATTTGTTCATAATAAAAGTAAATACTTAATTCCAGACTAGTTTTTTCAAATGTCCAAATTAAAATGGACCATAAAAAATCAAGCTGCCTTTTTAAAATATTTTTATCTACTGTTTTAAAATTTTTAAGCGTTATAGCCCAAATGGTATAGTGAGTGGTGAAATGAGAAATCTAATAGAGAAGTAATCAATTGTTATTTGTGCATTGTAAACCAGCAAACAATGTTGTTTCATTCCACAATCATTCTTTAAAGTACATGTTGCTTGTTAAGGTAATTCGACAAGTCTTTATTTCACTTTTCTTCGCGCCGTTAAAAGTATTAAATTAATAATTCATAAAATCCAGAAAATTCCTTATCACGTGTATACTCGCGGATTAAGCAGTATAAAAATTCCACTTTGCAGTTCTTCCTCATGGCAGACTGATTTTTCTTATTAATCGCGTAATCGATAAACGGCCCTGTTAAAGAATATTCTTCCTGTTATCGAATAAGTACGATTTAATTATATTAAAATTTATTTATTAATAGAATAATGATATAAATGTATATCAACATAAAATTTTGTCAAATAAACCTGTTTTTAATTTGTTTCTATACTTAAGCAACGATGACATTTTTATGCATTCTTCGTGTAATGATGTTCGCTAGCTTCAATGGAACGTATCCGCAAGCCTCTGTATTTCGATATAATGCATACGAAATGTTTTCGATCACTACTGCTAAGGTTCATCGAACTCACAGTAATCGTAGGTATTACGGCAAATATGATTAGTATTATGTTGTTTGTAATAAAATCAAAGGTTGAAAGCAGTTATGATATTGGTTCCGATTCTTGAAATATATAATAATATAGAACCGAACTCGAATCATGACTGTCATTATGTAAGTATATCGGTTCTTTATCGGTTTTATAATTGTCATTTTTCTAAAATGCCAAACCGAAAAATAATACTTATAGAACCGATATGAAATTGATCTAATATGCGTTCCATATTGTTTTGGAATACATAAACGATATTTTTTAAAGAGATTTTATGTAGATCATGTTAAAGTCAACAGGGACACGTACATGGATTATGAATGTGGTTCCGGAAATCAGAAAACACGTAACAACGCCGTACACCATCCTCTGGCTCACGCAT